AGATAAGCTGATACAGCCAGAAAAAGCAGAAGAGCTTTGAACGCGTGAACTCTTTTAAAAATCTGAGTGCAATCTCAGTAAGCTTTTCCGTCTGTAGGATGTGTGATCTCATTTCTGGGCTTCAGAGGTATAGTTTGGGGGTTACTGTCTTTGTCTTGCACAAGCTTGGTACTGAGCCCTGTCCTGAAGGGAGGCACATCTGGCAAGTGCCCCATGTCCTCTGGTCTTGGTTATATTTGCACTACAGCCTGGTGGTAAAGTTATGCCTTGTTTGTTTGTTTTAAACTACTTTATGCTGCTTTTTGGAGGAGCCCTGTTAGAAAGGGGCTTGGCTAGAAATGAGAACCAATTTTGTAACTTAGATTTTGTCTGAATGGTGAAAGGAAATGTCGAGATCAGCCAGGCCAGAGTGAGTAGAGCCTGTTGTTCTTGCTATATTGCTGCACCGGCCCTCTCCCTACCCCAGAGGAAAGGTCCAGAGTTCAAAGGCTGGTACACTTTAGGAAAGAGCCCCTCTTCCTCTCTCCTCAGCCCTGGGGGGGAAGCTGTCCTGCCAGACACACCAGCAGTGCCCAGGCAGCTCCTGCCTCTTCCCCACCCTGCAGTCAAACCCTGAGTCCACAGGCGGCTGCGGCGGGTGCTGCTGGACAAGGCAGCCCCATGTGTCCTGCAGAGCTCAACCTCCCGAATCCTCAGCCTGCTGGTCAGCCCATGGGAGCTCTTCCTCAGGGATCTGTCTCTGTTCCTAATTCATCACCGGCTGACATGAGCAGGAAATAAAAAGAGCAATTTACCCTCCATTTCTCCTGTGCAATGAGCCCTTTTCTTTAAGCCATCAGCCCCTTTATCTTATCCCATCAGAGTGGCTGCAGTACAGGTTGTTTTCAGCTGTCTCTGGACATCACTTGAATCTTCAGGGTACTTGTTTAGCCCCACTCACATCCCTTCTTTCACTCAGAACAAACAGTGCTTCTGGCCCCACTGCACTTCCCCTGCCCCATTGTGGTGCAGGACTGCAGGGGCTGAGGCACTTCAGTACGTGCTGAGGGGGCTGTTCACTGAAGACAAACCCAGAGACCCTGGTGACTTTTTAAATACTTTTGTCTGGCTGGAGAGGGGTCGGGAGTGCAGGGATGCTGAGGTTCAGAATGACATTGCAGTCATTGCACGTGCATGATTTTACAGTGACCATGTTGTCCCTCTGCAGATTTGTGGCTGTGTGGGGTACCTGGTCAGACTGGGGAGAGGGAGGGAGCTTCCTATGCCACGGTACGGTCTGTGCGTTGTGTTTGAGGCCTCTCCACACAGGCTGGCAGAGACCTGGGGTCTTTCTCCCCCCGCTGTCCCGTCAGGCTCGTGCTCCTCCCGCTGGTCGGCAGAGGGCACCGGTAGCCTGGAGACAGTCCTCGGGATGCACTTGCTGGGCCGCCTCCCTGGGCAGCGGCGAGGAGAACGGGCATCCCTGCTCTGGGGCAGCTTCTCCGGCACTGGGATAGAAACGTCTCCCAGCTGCATCATCCCTCCGGTTGCCCATTCTAGCCCGCCAGACTGGGGAAATGGCTCCAGGGGCTGCTTCCACAAACGGGTTCTCTGCATCCCATCCTCTGCACAGACGTGACTGTGCCCTGTGCCCCGCTCATCTCTGCTGCTGGTGGCTGAAACAAGTGTTGCTGGCTGGGTCAGATCCTTCTGCCTCTCCTTTGCTTCGTGCTCCAGGTGATCTTGGAGGTGTTTTATGGGGAACACACCCTCGGATCAGGGTGCAGCTCTTCTGCATTTCCCTGTGTGAACTATTAGATTAAGAGACAAGCAATTTAAGAGTTAGCACTGACTCTGTGAGCACTCCCTACTTAGCCCGCACTTGACTTTTCCTAACTCCATCCCAAATCTGATCATCACAGCTCTGCTAGAACTGTTTACTGCTCGTTTCTACAGACACAGATGAAAACACGCAGTGCTGCAAGGGCAGCTTTGAAGCCAGACGTGCTGCAGTGGCTGGCACTAATGGCATTCCTTCTAGACTTCTTGCCCTGGTTTTAAAAACATGTGGTATCTAAAAAGATGTTCCTTTTTTGTTTTTGTTACATCTCAAATTCTGACTTCCTTCATGGCCTGCTGAACTCCTGGTTGTATGGCCTTTTTAATGTAGGATCTGGCTCCACATAACACATAACTAAGCTGCTTCTCCAAAGACAACCCTCCTTCCCTTCTCCCTGGTCCCTCCTTTGCACTAGATCTAAGCCATGTGTAATTGCAGGGGAAGTTGATAGAAAGCTAAGAAGAAATACATTTTCTTTTTTCCCCCTACACATTATTTTCCCAACAGATGAACAGTGGAGAGTGAAGCCAGATTCCTTTTTCATTTCAGCCTACTTGGCAGGCAGTGTGTAGACAACCCTGCCATCCCTCAGTGTGTGACCCAAAGCAAGCAGCCCAGCCTTCGGAGCCTAAACCAGTTCTGACTGTCAGGCCTCAGTTGTTTATGGCATCCCCCTGCCAGAGGCATGTGCTGCAGTGCACCAGCTGCAGTGAAACTCATGATGATACTGCACCTTCTGATTTATTGTCAAAACTACCTCCTAAGCTCTGTTTCCTGTATGTAAGTCTGAAAGAATGGCACTGATTTTAGCAACTTACTCCAAGTTCATGTGCTGTAACTGAGATTGGGGTTAGGTTGACTGATGTCTCAGCTTTTGTTCCTTTGTGGTTTTCTGTCCCATTTTAATTCCCTCTATTGCTTTCCTAATTGTAGCTGACCAAGGATGAGCAATGAGTCATACAGGAAAGGCTCATGCATCTGCTCATACATGTCACCTAAATCCCAAACCAAATCTGTCCGGTGCTTGATTTCTTTTTCATTCATTTCTGTGCACTGTGGCATTTTCTAGCTTGAACTAGAAAAGCAACAGAGGCTGGAAGGCCTTGAGGTTTCTTTTTCCACATGGAAATGTGAGAAAGGATCTCTATTGGAGGCTATTTCTTTCCAGTCTTCTGGAGTGTTCTTCCTCAAACAGTACAAGCATAATGTAACTGACTTTGAGTTATGTTGGCTGACTAAAAGAAGGAAGATGTGGCTCATTGCTGGAAATGACAGATGATTTTGTAATTGTATTTAATCACTATTGATACTGGCATGCTGTTTAATTTGTGTAAGTAAGGAATCTTTGTACCAGCCCTACAGAAGTGTTTGTCTCAAATTTGTTGATTATATATAAATGCTGGACAAACTGTAGATGTGTGTTTCCAGAAATGAATTAAGTATGCTTTTTAAACTCCAGAAGACAGCAGTGCTGCTGGAAATACATAGAACCAGTGAGTTGGGAATGGTGAGCTTTGTAATGTCATCTGTATAGATCTGCTGGAAATGGGTCACACCGGGAACATGTTTGCAGATGGAGGGACAGGGCACAGAGAACCAATCACAGGCGAATTAAGTTTCTCTGGCCATGATTTAATATTGTATAAGTTCCTCAAACCAGCTTTGTTTGATGAGGAGAGCAGGGCTCAGATACTCGTACCTTCAGTGCAGCACAGCCAAGTCTCTCTCTCATCTCTGCAGCTCTCAGCCTGCTGGGGCTGGGGCTGGAGTGACTGTCCCACAGCAGTGTAGTTCTTCATTACCACCTGGAGTTCTCTCATCTCCACACGGTTGTCACTGCCTGGATTGTCCTGTGGGGAGTGAGACAGTAACTGAGCTCCATGCTTTGGACTTGGCTGGTGAAGGGCACGTGAGCTCAGAGCTGAGGGTTTCTGCTGGCACCTGCTGTTCATCCACATCTGGCTATTGCTAAAACTCTGACACAGGAAACTGGTTTCAGTCTTTTGGGCTGCAGTCAATGTTTAGATTATACTGTTTGTTCTTCGTGCTGCAGGAAAATATTTCTAGGAAACTGTATTACTTCTAGAGCAACTTGGAAAGGAAGACTAGTATATTATGGTTGTGAAAATTGTGTTTCACTTCTAAGCGAGAGTCAGATTCTGCTATAGCAAGTGCCTTTTACAAGGTAAATACCTCCCAGGACATGGTGCTTCCAGAGCAGATTGTACTTTGGATACTTGCTCTGGGAGAGAGACTCCATGGATTCACTAATAGTTTAGCGCTCTACATTGGGATCCTGTGAGTGATTTTTAAAGTCACAGTTTAATACAAGACCATATAGAAAAGTCTGCTTTTGTTTAGCCATCACCATTTTAAGTGCTGAAGGTTGTCTTGATTTTATTACAGTTGCAGAAGCTCTCTGTTTTAGGTGTTTCAATTTAACAGGTTCAAGTTAGTGCCAAGGGGAGGTATTGAAAATGCTCTTTTGATGTTCTCATGCCATCCTGTTTGCAGAAGTGACTGTGCCAGGGGTTGGATTTGTTAACCAAGAATGAGAGCAAGAGCTGAGAAATTGCATGTTCTCCAGAAACCAAATAGGGTGAATTCTCATCTGTTTCGTACTTGGTGGTGTTTCGTAGGAGTAATCCCAGTTGGTGTGTGTAGTCCAGCCTTAGAGTGGTTATTGCAAAGTAGGAGTCAAAACCAGTAAAGATTAGGCTTTTTGTCCTGGCTCCATGACTCCCTGGAGCTGTCATCTGCCATTTACCACAGACACTGGGCTTCAGAGAGGTTTTGAGTCAAATGCTGTGAACCCTGTGGCTTTCTTGGGGGAAATATCTTCTCTGGTGGCCCGGGGTTGATGGGCTTTGGGGTCTAATGTCCAAGACAGAGAGTTCCATGTTCAGCTTTGCCCAGTTTAAAATAAGCCCTGTTTGTGTAAAATGGTGCTGCTGATTATAAGAGAGGGTAGGGGTTACAGAACACTGGTCCAAAGAGAAACCCTGCAAGGAGGGCACTGCCCCAGAGGGACTGTGGGGAGCGAGGGCAGGGAGAGGCAAACGGCCCACACAGCTAATTGAAAGCCCATCTTCCCGTCAGTCATGGTGCTTGCCCATCAATCATTCTGGCACCAACAGGACTTGACATCAGTAGGGAATTAAATAAACTCCTCTCTCTTTAGGGACCTGCTGATGGAAACCCGTAGGGGGGAAGTGAGCAGAGAAGAGCCGGAAGCGTGTGCGTGGGGGAGAAACAGTCTCAGTGGTCCCCTGGGATGGTGCAAGTCTGTGTCCTTCCTCTTTCTCACACCAGCATGGACAGCTGAAGGGATTTTTCAGTGAGTTCCCAAAAAGGTGAGTTTAGAGCTGGTAACAGACCAAGCTCTCACCTCAGTTTAAATAAACAAACTGCAATAACAGTATCCTACGGTGAGTGCCCAGAAAGCCGAGTGATGCTCTGTGCAGCTGAGGAGTTTTCACCCTCGAGTGAAATGAGTGCTGTGGGACTGCAGTAACTGAGGGGAATCTGGACCAAAGTGTCAGAGCAAACACTGGGAAGGGAAGTGGACAAGAGCAGAGTTAGCGACTGTGCCTGTTTTCTCTCCTCCTGGGAAACTGCGTCTGCAGTGAATTAGGATGTGGTGTGGGCTAGGATACTGCAGGTTGGAGCTGCCTGAAATCAGGGTTTCAGTGCAGATAAAGGGCTGTCCCCAGTGCCTGGTGGAGTGAGTGAGTGAGTGTGTGTGTGCTCGTGAGGAGGGCCCAGCAGCTGGAAACCATTCGGTCACTGACAAGTCCCCTGATGGACCTCTACTGACATGGAGCGGCTTTGGTTTCAGGAAAGCCAAAGGGAACCTGTCACTAATTAGACACACAGCTAATTAACGAGAAGCAAACAAAGAGCAGCAGCTTGTGTTTTGGGAAAGCTCGGCTTTAGTAGGCAAGGACGTCTGCTCCTCCCTTTCAAACCATTTCAAAAACAAACAAAGCGGGGAGACTTGCATTTCAAAGCAGTGCAAACACTGCCAGCCTCAGAAAGCCTTCCAGGAGGGACGTCCAGGAGTGGGATTTAGCAGTGAAAGGAAAAAGGGCTCCCCAGGTGTAATGAGACCTTCCCTGTCCCTAGATCAGGGCCCTCTGAATCCCCAGAGTGCATCTCTTATCTATTAGCTTTTAATTTTTCTTTCTCCAAATAAACACTCCTGTTAAAATTTCGGGTGAGTGGATGAGGAAGAAAGGCAGGTGTGGAAACATGAGCTTCCATTTTTTGCTTTGCTGCTTTCCAGATCTTGCAGAAGTGTGTGGTATCTCAATTTAAAAACCTTTTCTTATGCATTGTTTTTATTGATGCTGTATATATTTATTAGTGCAGGGCTGGCTAGAAAGGTAGGTCAGTAACAAAATAATCAAAAATTACCTGGACTGTGTAAACAGATGCTCAAGAGTGGATGAGGCTCTGTTTGAGTGCTAATATCTTTAGTAAGAGAAGTGTGTCTTTGGAACAGGAGGAATCCAAAACTGTAATCCCAGTTATGAGTCCTCCAATGACCCTGAGAAACCTTGCTTAGGGCCTGATCCTCCAAGGAGCCTTGCCAGGGTCCCAAGTCCTGCTCAGAGCAATCATTTTTCACTAACTCCAAATACAGCAGTGCTAGCAGGATTCATTAACTGAATTTTGCAAAGTGCTTTGAACATGAAACACGGAAATAATGCCAAGTTATGTGATATTTGGTGTATTTCCTAGAGCCATGCATGTAATTAAGGGAGAATCTCAGCTTTCAAAAACCAAAGCAGTTTCTAACCCTCCTTGTCATAGGAAAAAAATAATAACCTGAAAACAAGACTAAAAGTTAACAAATTAGGAGGCAAATTTAAAGGAAAAAACAACTCACCAGGTTGTGCTATCTTAATGTCCTGGTTTGGGGAGCAAAATCATAAAATTGAGCAGTTGAGTATGACTGTGTGACTATGCTTTAAATATTTATTAAAGGAAAATACATTATTAATTTTTTTTGTGCATTCAATATAGAAATTATTAAGCCCTTATCATCACAGCCTAATGTGGATGTTGAGCGCAGCATTTGTCCTCAGAGCAGCCTGTCAGTGGAACTGTGCCTGTTTTCTCCTTGGTCGTGGAGGAAGGTCTGTGTTCCTGGCTAGGGCCAAGGCTGGTGGCTGCAGGCTCAGTCCCAGCACTGCCAGTGGCTCCCTGGATGAGCATCCTGTGGTCCTGCTGGGATCAGTCCCCAGCCCCACGGGGGTGGCTGCAGACACTGCTCTGCTGGGTTGAGATGGACACCTCCCTGTTTCTGTGGGGTGCTGCAGTGTTTAGCTCAGGAGTGTTTTTAAAGCACTGCAGCCTCCTTGAGCAGGAGTTACCAGAGCCCCCGGGGTTACCCTGCACTAGTAGATCACCACGTGCACTTACATTAGGAATTTTTTTTCAGCACTCATCTGGTTTTGCTGCTTTATGGCCTGATTTGAAATTGCCTTATACTGTGCTGTCAGCACGGGTGTTTACTGCTGTCAAAGGACCTGTTCAAAGAATCAGCAAAGCCACCACAGGATTCCTTCTTATATCATTTTGGCTCAGGTCTCAAATATGTACCAGCAATTAAAAAAAATAGAGAAAAAAGAAGGCAATGGCTTCAGGTTACAACAAGTAAGGAGCATATCAGCTTTTCCAGACACAGATTGATTTCGCTGTGCCTCTCCCCTTGAATATCCTTAGCTTCAATGAAAAAGCAACTGGAGGCAAATACATGAAGCACTTTATAAAGAAAACGTGGTGTGGCACTTCATTTTCTCTTTCAGGGATGTTACTTTGCTATTTTATTGTTGAGACTGCAAAGCCCCAGCAAGGTACGAAGCAGGATAAGAAGATAATGAGAATTTTCTCTCCAGCCAGCACACACTGGCTGAGGGCTGTTTCAGATGGCATCAGGTTTCTTTAGCCTACTCAGAGCTTGAAAATGTGCCCTTGATTTCAGCCCACAGGAACGTGGGCTTGTGCTGCTTTATTGTCTAATGGATCTTTCCCTTGATCTCCTCATACAAACACGTTGAGCATGTGGTTGGGTCACTTAGAGAAAACTGAACCCCACTCATGCTCTTAGTGTAATCCCTTCATATTGATTGCTGTGCTGCACAGGGGCAGCAGGTAACCAAATCCATGTGGCTTCGGGCTGGCAGCTGATCGTCCCACACACGCACAGTTCAGCTGGTGAGCTCCCCACAGCACCAGCACTGCTCTGCCCCGTCGCTTCCCACCGAGTGTGAAACACAGAAATATCTTGGAGCACGAGGACGGGGTGGCAGCAGTTGTTCATGGGAAGGGAACAGATGCAGTGGAGGATTTTACTGGGGAGTGTGTTCCTCTCTGGATTTATCTTGTGGGTATCTCATGCTTATCTTTTGCCAGCTCGTGTTAGAGCAGAGTAGGGTAACCTTGAAGCCAGTGTGTACCAAAAGTATTGTGTGAAATAAAGGCAAACAACTAATTATAAAATATATAGGGGACAACCTAAGTATTTGTAGAAACAGCTTTCCAGTGACCAGAACAACTCTTGACTGGATTTTATGTGTTATTAGGGTCATGTCTTCCATTTCCTGACATTTGTGGGGGTTTGGGCTCAATGGAAGCCTCATTCTTCTCTATGGCTTTTGGGGACTATACAATGCTAATTTGCAATCAGAGTGATTTGTGGGGGACACATTATAAACTTGGGTCTAAAGGGAGCGAGGAATCCCAGGAACTGTTGTAGCCTCAGGCCAATTTCTAAATATAAAGTATCCTGAGATGATCTGTCATGTTTGACTATCTCCTTGGTTCAGTTTAATGGGATCTCAAATGCTGGTGATGTGAAACAGAGGAAAATGGGCTAATGGGAACCCTCACAAACACTTGAGTCAAGATGAGTGACTGGTTAAAGGTTTGGTCTAGTGCTTGGTGACTGTGGGCTATAACGGGGCATCCAGTGGGGGAAGGAGGGAGATGCCAACTGGCTTTCTACTCTGCTTCCAAATATAGCAAGTGCAGGTTTTGCCCCCAGATGGGTAGAACTGCACATACAATGCTGCTGGTGCAATAACCATGCCCTGGAGTGGGGAGGTGCAATCAGGATACTTACGGAAATGTGTCCCTTAAGAACATTGTATCATGTTACTCCTAACAGCAACAGAAAATGGAGATAAGCTTCAGGTTCTTCTTACATGAAGCGTGTGCCAGTTCTCTACTGTTTGGTAATTCAGAGTGTTTCTGTGAACACACCCACCCCTTAAATAAGCCTGCATTTTTAAAATCTGTGTTCCCAGCAAAATAACTGAAATGATTTTGGCACCGTCATTTCCCAACTAGACACCTTGAGACTGGATTTTTTCACACCATTTTCATTTGGGGTTGTTTTGGCATGAATTTCAAACCTGAATGCATCAGTATCCCCAGGCTATCTTGAGGATCTGATCTAAGAGGCATCTTCACACTTACCCTAAAAGGTTGGAGACGGTATGTGCTCTTAGCTCATTTAAGACCTACAGGTTTGTAACAGACTTGCACTTATAGGTCACTGAGGATCCCTTACTAGCTAGTGAAAGAGTGACCTTGGCTGTAATGTCAAATGCTGCAGAGAATCAGAGTAGCTGTGGGGACAGTCATGGCTTGCACTTTAAAACTGTGGTTTCCTTTGGGACAGGGTAGTTTCAGGGGCAACAGTGTTTGTGCATGACTGAGTGAAGAGATCAAAATCTAACCCACTGAAGGGGTTTGTATATGCAGGATTTTAGACTGGTGTTGGTAGCAGGTGATGGGTCGTTGCTTAGGGTATAGGACAGATTTGTTACTAGTGATTACTTCATTATTAGCTTTATCTAGTTCTTCACTGTGTTGTATTACACTCAATAAGTAATACCTGGACCTCCATCCAGACTTAAACTGCCCCCCTCTTCTCACTCCCCTCCAGTTTGGAGAGATTATTGAGACAAGGTTAGTTAATTTAGTATCATAGAGTCATAGGATGGTTTGGGTTGGAAGGGACTGTAAAAACCATCCTTTTCCTGCCATGGGCAGGGACACCTTCCACTAGCCCAGGTTGCTCCAAGCCCTGTCCATCGTGGCCTTGGACACTTCCAGGGCTGGGGCAGCCACAGCTTCTCTGAGCAGCCTGTGCCAGGGCCTGCCCACCCTCCCAGGGAAGAATTGCTTCCTATTGTCTAATCTAAACCTGCCCTCTCTCACTTTAAAGCCGTTCCCAGTTGTCCTGTCTCTCTATGCCCTTGTAAAAGGCCCCTCTCCAGAGGGACTAGAACTGTTTCAAAACCCACTTGTCAGGATGCTTAAGGAGGGGAGAGGTGAGTTA